AGAGTGTGGTGGCCTGGCTGAGGAGGAATTGATGCCTCTTTGATTACAGCAGGTGAAAATCCCTAGAGCATTTGCTCATTTGGAGGGAACTGTGCCACAGCTTTGTGGTGTTACCAGTGACTGGGTGTGGTGAAGGTGCAAGGTGGGGAATGAGGCACAACCTTCCTTGACTAATGACTAACTCTTTTGCTGGGCAGGCCTTTCTGACTTCCATGGAGCCCTGGAGTGAGTCACACTTGGGCTGCCAGGGCTCCCTGCTGTCTAGTTGCTGGAGACCTTTTGAACTCTCCCACTTCATCTGCAATTGTGCTGCCTGGGAAAATTGGTTTGGAACTCTTGACCTGGGCCAGCCACCTAGGGACCCTCTAAGGTTGAGCCCTGGTTGTGGTGTAGTGGGAGGGACTGATTTTTTATCACATGTGATTTTTTTTTCACATTAAAAGGAAGTGCTGAGAACAGGACAGTCTCCTGGCAAGCCTAGAGATGTTTTGTGACTTAGGGACAAGCCCCCAAGTAACTCAGTGTTCCAGAATGAGATAAGATCAGTCACACTTTAGTAAGTAGGTGTGAAACATTGATGCTTGGTGCTTCTTTGTGGAGGTTGTGGAGAAAGAATACATGAGGAAAGAGCACGTGGGGAAAAGTATGTGGCAATCCTTACACATGCAGCCCTCGTATGTCATTATTTTAACTCTCCACAACTGTTGTGTATCACCTTAATAAATAGCTGTTGCGGAGGGGTCTAGTGGCTCTCCTGCACCTCTGGTTAGGCCACCTCTTTAAAGCTAGCACTTCAATCTGCATCCTGCCTGGTTCTTTTGTGCAGCACTGGGAGGTGTAGCACACTGGTGGTGACACACATAAATAAAATAAAAAACAAAGACCATATGATTCTATCAATTGATGCAGAAAAAGCTTTAAATAATTTCCAGCATCCTTTCATGATCAGAACACTTATGAAAATAAGCTGAGATGTGTCATTTCTTAAACTGATAGAGCTATCTACAGCAAGCCCACAACCAATATCATATTGAATGGAACAAAATTGAAAACATTTCCACTCATATCAGGAATGAGGCAATGATGCCCACTGTCTCCACTGCTACTCATCATAGTAATAGAAGTCTTAGCCATCACAATCAGGCAAGAGAAGGTGATCAAGGGTATCCAAATGGAGTCAGAGGAGATCAAACTCTCACTCTTTGCAGATGATATGATTTTATACCTGGAAAACCCCAGGGACTCAACTAAAAAACTCTCAGAAGTGATCAAAGACTACAGCAGCATCTCAGGATACAAAATCAGGACTTACACATCAGTAGCTTTTATATATGCCAACAATAGTCAAGCTGGAAAAATAGTCAAGGACTCTATTCCTTTCACAGTACTGCCAAAGAAGATGAAATATTTGGGAATTTACCTAATAAAGGATGTGGATGATCTCTATAAAGAAAATTATGAAATTCTGGGAAAAGATATAGGTGAATATGTTAACAAATGGAAAAACATACCACGTTCATGACTGGGAAGAATCAACATTGTTAAAATGTCCACACTACACAAAGAAATAAACAAATTTAATGCAATCCCTATTAAAGTGCTTTGTCATACTTTAAAGAGCTGTAAAAAATAGTACTTTGTTTTATTTGGAATCAGATAAAACCTTGAATAGCCAAGACATTACTCAGAAGTAAAAACAAATCAGGAGGAATCACACTACCAGACTTAAGACTATACTGTAAATGTATAGTGATCAAAAAAGCATTGTATTGGCACAAGAATAGACAGGCAGATTTATGGAACAGAATAGAGAACCAAAAGATGAACCCAGACACTTATCATCATTTGATCTTTGATAAGCCTATCAAAAAACATTCATTGGGGGTAAAGACTCCCTATTTAACAAATGGTGCTCAGTGAACTGGCTAGCGACTTGTAGAAAACTGAAACTGGATCCACACCTTTCACCCTTAACAAAAACTGATTCTCACTAGAAAAAAGATTTAAACTTAAGACATCAAACTATAAAGATACTTGGAGAGCGTGCAGGAAAAACAGTTGAAGAAATTGGCCTGGGAGAATACTGTATGAGTTAGATACCCCCAGCAACTGAAGCAACACCAAAAAATATATTACTGGGTTCTGACCAAACTAAAAAGCTTCTGCATAGCCAAGAACACAGAAAATAGTGTGAGAAGACAGCCCCTAGAATGAGAGAAATTTGCAGGTTACATTTCTGACAAACAACTGATAACTAAAATCCACAGAGTACTCAAACTAATCAATAAGAAAAGAACAAATACCCCTATTTCCATCTGGGCAAGCAGACAGCCCCTAGAATGGGAGAAGATATTTGCAGATTAAATTTCTGAATGTAATATAACAGGTTCAATCCTGCAATTCCTCTAAGTAGGTATATATCCAAAAGACAGGTGCATGGCCTACAAACACATGAAAAAAAGCTTATCATTTTTAATCATTGGAGAAATGCAAATGAAAATCATCTAACTCCAGTAAGATTAGCCCACATCACAAAATCCAGAAACTATAGATGTTGGCTTGGATGTGGAGAAAAGGGAACACTTCTGCATTGCTGGTGGGAATGAAGCCTAGTGCATTCCTTTTTAATGAAGTTTGGAGAACACTCAAGGAACTAAAAGTAGACCTGCCATTCAATCCTGCAATTCCTTTACTAGGTATATATCCAGAAGACCAAAAACCATTTTACAGCAAAGATATTTGCACCAGAATGTTTATTGCTGCCCAATTCATAATTGTCAAGACATGGAAACAGCTCAGTGCCCATTGACCCATGAATGGATTAACAAACTGTTGTATACGTATACCATGTTTACGTGGATGCAACTGGAACATATCCTACTTAGTGAAGTATCTCAAGAATGGAAGAATATGTATTCAATGTACTCAGTACTATTATGAAACCAATATATAATCAGCCACACAATTCTGATAATACTTTCACTAATTTTCTCCTATATTTCTATCAATTTTTGTTGTTATATTCTAAGGCTATTTAGTTATATAAATACATGTTAAAATCTTTCAAATTGAGAAGATTATTGCTTTGGCGTTTCCACTCTCCATCCCTCCCATCATGATAACATGGTCTAAAAATATGATTCTGGGTTCTTAGATGTATTTTTTCCTCATTATTCTATTTGGAATTTTTTTCTTACATATAAACAAACTTTTAAATATAGTTGATAATTAATACTTCTGATGTAATTTAATTGCATCTCCTGTTCACCTTACCACATGATTACTTCTATGAAATGCCTTTCTAACAAGGATCACTATGGCCAAGTTTTTAAAACTTACATACTAGAAAAAAAATGTAAATTGTTTCTCCACATTTGAAAACTATTTGAAAGTTCTTTTCAGTCAAAACTTTAATAATATTAACACACTAATTTCATGCCTCTGGTATGGCTATCAATGTTGATCTGATCTAATCTGTGTACCTATCTATTCTGATAGGCTTCTCTTGAGCACTTAGCTGCCTGACAGGAGTACATTAACTACATGAACCCATCCTTTCCCCACTTTGATTTTCCTTATCTCTTACTGTCTTCCCCATTCATTGCCTCTCTATACTACATCTTGTGCTCTCAGTTGCTCTGTGCGAGATGCACCTTTTTCTTCCTGTCCTTTTCCTGTGTATGATTTTAGAATTTTCTCCTTGCTGTAATTTTAAGTGTCAGGTGTGTTTTATTTGACTTTTTTCTGTTCAATGCTCAGTTTTTAGATTCTAGAGTCTTTCAATCTAAGGCCATTCTCTTAATTTTTAAATTTGTTTTTCCATTATTCTTTTAAATATTTTCTCCTATTTTGATTTTTCCCTTCTTTTGGAAATATTGTTTTCTAAATATTGGCAGTTATATTTCCAAATAATTTAATTTTATTTTTGTATTTTTTTAAAAAATCTTTTCCCATTTCTTTTTGTGAGAGTTCATCAATCTGATATTCCAAATTATTAATTCATTGAACAAGTGTATTCACTTTACTGTTTCTTTAATTTATTGTGACTTTATTTTTTGGTTACTTGGCTCTTTTTAAAGATTATTTGTTATTGTTCTTAAGCTAATGACTTCCCTTAATTTTGCATAAAAGACAAATGATTTCAAAGAAAATTTATAAATATGCTTTTATCATTTCTTACTGGAAAACTATACTTAATGTGGGGATGTTTCTGTATGGTAGAACACTTAATATAATGTGGACTAGGACTTGCAAAGGAAAGAGTACCCATGAACCCCAAGAAATCAAACTATTTCTGCTTTTAATAGAGAAAGAATTTTAAAAGGAACAATTAAATAAACGAAGGCTAGAAGCTGCAGCATTACAGCATATTGCTAAAGCATAGCAATAATAGCTTGGGATATTAGAAAAGATTTGTTGGAAGTCTGCATTTCATTAGGGATAGTATGAGGTATTTTAGATTCAATATCTGGGCTGTAATGGTGTAGCCAACCACTAAATTTAGAAAGTCACAGTATTTGTGGTATTTTTTGCAAATGTGCCCTTTGCCTGAGTCCAGCTCAACTGTTTGGATGTATGCAAAGAAATGGGAAGAAATTTGTTTGCTATCAATAACCTGAGTGTGTTTATAGTTGTTTCTTTTTCTCACTGTAAGAGAAAATTAATTCAAAGAGCCATGGCCCAAGTAAAAGATAATAAACAAAATCTCACCAGGCACCATCCTAACCGGAGGTGAAAATTCAGCAGCCTTTCCAACATTATGTTGATCCGGTGTCAATTCTGATAGGCTTCTCTTGAGCACTTAGCTGCCTGACAGCAGTACATTAACTACTTGCACCCATCCTTTCCCCACTCTGATTTTCCTTCTCTTACTGTCTTCCCCATTCTTTGCCTCTCTATACCACATCTCGTGCTCTCAGTTGCTCTGCGCGAGCTGCGCCTTTACTTGCCTCAACGCCTCAACCGCTGTTACTCAGGCTGGGCTCTAAGACAGCGGAGCCATGTTCCTTCTTCTGGCGCTTTTCACTGAACTTGGCTGGCTGTACGCAGGCGGCGGTAAGACCAGAGACTTTGCTTCGTCTTCCACTCGAAGCTTCTGAGGGGAATTGTTTGTACTTTCTGGCCTAGATTTTACCTTGGCTACAGGCTCTCCCCAACCACTGTTTCCTGGCCCTTTGTTTCAAGGTCTGGGACTAAATAAGTGGATCGGCAGCCTCAGGAAGGGCAGAAAATCTTTTCATGTCTTTGGAATCGTTTCCTCATCTGTAAAATGAACACAAATGAAATACGTGGATTTTTTTCCACATACAAAATCCTTCTATCCTAGGAATAATTGTATCACCCATAAAGAAGCTATTAATCATCTCCCAATTTAGCAAATACTATCCTCTACCTGCTCCACTGAAAATTGCACATCAATTTGGTATCTAACAGTCCATATTCTTTACTACAAATGATCTCACTTTATTGATTTTTGTGTGTTTTTCTCATTTCCATGCCTCTTTATAACACTGTAAGCTGATATTCAGTGTTAACTTATTCAAGCAATTGAAGTGTCCTTTAAATTCTGTGTGTGTGAAGAGGAGAGAGAGAGAGAGAAAGAGATAGATAGATACAGGAAGAGAGAGAAGTTGAGAATGAGGCAAAAACTTGAGATTTTGATAAGCAGTCAGAAATTTATAGATTAGAAAGACTGAAAAGGATGAGAGGTGTAGAATATTTTTAAAATGACTGCTAACGTAGAGAGCCAATGCAGAATTAGAAATGAATAATGTAAGATCACAGGATCAAAATAATGTTGCTTGTTTTTACTTTCAGAATTTCATGAAACTTTTCTGCAGACTACAGTTCCTGAGAAGATTTCATCATTAGACACAAAAAGAGATTCAGAAAATAATGTAATTGGCATATAATATTTTTTTATCTTAGATTTTGTTTAGTTGTCTTTAATGTCAATACTCAAGACTGAAAGTGCTGAACGTGGTGGCAGGAACACACTTCTTGAAGGAAAAGCCGACAGCTCAGAACAGGTTCACAGCAGGCAGAGTTTTCGTGGGAATGAATGTGTTGAGACTCTGTGTGTGTTTCTGTTTATGATGAAGGATTTTAGGGTTAGGGCTTTTTAGGGCCAATTGTTTTTCTTTTATTTTATTCAATTTTCTTTTTTTTAAATTTCAGATTAATATGAGGGTAACAATTCGGTTACAGTTTGTGTTTCTTAGGTACAGTCCCTGTTATAGTTGCATCCCACTCCCAGGAGGTGTGCTATATACCCTTAAATTGTGCAGGGACAAATTTTAAGGACGGGGTTTTCCAAATTCAAATTCTGGGGGGTAGGCAATAACAGGGATTTCCCCAAGATCAGGGTTAGAGTCAGACAAGTGAGGTGAATCATGTTACTACAGGGTCAGATTCTTTCTTTTGAAATTTTTTCATCATGATGTTTGTGGGGGTCCATTCATTTTGATTTTAAAAAATATTGCATTAAACTATATATCTTGATTCCTCAATTTTCTGATACCCTAGTCCTAGCCCCAGTGATCCCCCCAGCTATTTGGCTTAGAATTTCATTAAGTCAAGTGAGCACCTGCATGGTGATGATCCTCAGTTTATATGGGAATTACTGCATTGATTTAACAGTCAGAACTGGATATTAGTGGCTGTTCCTTCTCCAATAATTCCCTTAGAAAATCTACTCTTCAGATGGATCCTTCTAGCACAGGATAATCTAATGCTAGTCAAAATTATAATTCTGCAAGTTTATTTTATTTCCTTATAGTGGTTACAAAAGCTTTTCTCCTTGTTTGACATACAAAAACACTGTTCATGAAGGTTTTCCTTACCCCATTTGATCTTTGGTCACCTTTTTTTCCTCTAGTAGGTGAGTTTTATTTGCCACTTGTACACCCTGCAACTTTGAACATCCAGCCCTGATGGCCTCCTAAGTGAATTACTATTTAGGATGTGTTGGATGAGCTGTACTTCAACTTCCTTTTCTAATTCGTTTCATCTTTGTTTAATTCATTTTTCCTGAGATTTATAATAAAACAAACCCTCCCTCTTCATTATTTATGGACAGATAATATTTTTTACTTGTCCCACTTGTCCAATTGCTAGGATTTTAAAAAAGGCAATTAATATGGAAATTTTGTGTATTTCTCTTAACTCTACCAATTAAAAAAGTTACCTTTTAATACCTTTAATAATACCAAAAATTATTATTCATATGGAATGTGATTGTGTTTGAATATGTTTGTTATAATATGAAGTAAGACAAGAAAAAGAAAGAGTGCCTAAGGACTTATAAATCTCTAGGATTTAGGAAATACAAATACAGAACACTTAGTTAAATGTAATTTATTTCTAATTGCCTATGCATGTATACAAAAAGGAAAACAGAAATATTGCAAGGCTATTGTTATGCTAAAATTGTCTGTTTCTCACCTGAAATAAACTTTAAGTACCTAAATTAGGTACTTCTCTATCCAATTGTATTTTCCAAATACACGTTCAATGTATTTTCCCAACTTTGAGGAACACTGTATTAGGAACATTGTTCCTAATTAGAAAATTAGGAACATTGTATTTTCCTGATGATTTGACTTTTCTGTTTTGCAGAATTTGCTTATAAAACTTTTTGCAGTTACACTCTATGTTCCATTTATATTGTACCATAATTTCCACAGTGGTTCCATCCAGTGTGCTGCTTTTTGTTTACTGAACATTTCTTAGTGACAAAACATACTGGACATTAGTATTGTGAGATGGTATGTGGAACAGGTACTGATAAAAAGTAAACAACTCTTTTGGGGGCTGGGCACAAATATAAGTGAGTCCTTATTTAACAAAAGCAATCAATGTAACCTGGTTCTGTGTACCCTCAATGATTCCCCAATGATAAAAAAAAAAAAAAAGTAAACAACTCTGAGGATTACTCCGCTTAAATTGCTTTTCCTTTCTGTGGAATTATGTTGCACAATTAACTTTTATAAAAGCATTGTCATAAATTTATATTACTTTATCTCTAACACTACACATGATTATTCCACATTTTCCCATGCTGGAAAAGTATTCAGTGACAGGCAGACAAAACAACTGAATTCTTCAAAGGAATAAATTTATTTAAAACAGTCATAGCAAGTGTTAACCACTTGAAGTTGGAATTTTTCTGTTCATGAGTAATATTATTCCCTTTAAAACACAGTTGACACTCAAAGAGATACATTTCTTTTGCCAATTACTTTTTCAACACTTTTACATTTTTAATAGATTTTATTTTAAAGAGTATTTTTAGGTTTAAGGCAAAATTGAGCAGAAGGTAATGTTGAGTATTTTTCCTTTTATTAAGTCATATACACGTAGATCAGGAATATATCTGTGCATTTGTGGGGTAAAATGTGTTTTTTTTTTTTTTCAATTTGTAGTGCTTCCATCAAACTAATTAATATAGCTTTCACCTCATTTACTTCATTATTGTGTTCAGACATTTATGTTCTATACTTGATATATTTGACTTGTACCCTTGCAATGTGTTCCATAGGTGTGGTGGTTGCACCATTTACTTTCCCTTCCCTCCTCCCCTCCCCCCTCCCATTCCCTTCCACTTCTCTCTTTCATCCTGGGCTATAGTTGTTTTGAGAGTTCTTTGTATATTTTGGATCATGGTACTTTATTGGCTATGTCTTTTGCAAATAGTTTCTTAAATTTGTGGCATATCTTATTGAGAGTATCTTTTGCAGAGCAGAAAATTTTAGTTTTGGTGAAGTCCAGATTCTCTATTCTTTCTTCCATAAATAATGCCTTTGATCTTATGTTTAAAAAGTCATTACCAAACACAATATCTAAATTTTCTTCCATCTTATTGTCAAGGGGTTTTATAATTTTGCATTTTACATTTAGGTATGTGACCCATTTTGAGTTACTTTTGTGAAGAATGTAAGGTTTGTGTCTAGAGGAAAATTTTTTGGATATCCAATTCTAGCAACATTTATATGTGTTTGTGTCTTTGTCAAAGATTAGTTGACTATATCTATGTGTATTTATTTCTGGGCTCTTTATTCTATTCCATTGATACGTTTGTTTATTATTTTTTTTTACTGTTTGGGATTCTTTGAGGTTGCAAAGAATTAAGTTACACTGATTGCATTTGTTAGGTCAAGTCCCTCTTATAATTGTGTTCTGCCCACAAGAGGTGTGCCATACGATGTGACCCCCAACCCCATCTCTCCTCCTCTTTCCCTGCTCCCTCATTCCCCTGCCCTCCACCATATATTAGATCATCTGCTGCCTTCATATTAGAATTGAGTACATTGAATATTTGCTAAATACCATATTCTTTTGATTATTGTTGATTAATAGTAAGTCTTGCATTTGGGTGGTGTCATTCATTCAACATTTACCTTCTACTTCCATATTGTTTTGGCTATTTTGACTGTTCATATGAAGTTTAGAATCTTCATATGATTCTTTAGGGTCTTCTGACTGTTCATATGAAGCTTAGAATCAATTTGTATCCACAAAATACCTTGCTGGTATTTTTATTGGAATGGCTCTGATCTATAGATGAATGTGGGATGAACTTATATTTTGAGCACTTATTCTCCCTAACTTTAAAAATGGAATATATATTTTAATTTTTCTTGATTACTTGTATTATAGTTTTATAGTTTTCCTCATACATATTTTGTTAGATTTATACCTAAGTATTTCACTTTTACAGGTAAGACTATGAATGGTCTTGTGTTTTTAATTTTAAATTCTACCTACTTATTTTTGGTATATAGGAAAGCAGTTGACTTTTGCATTTTAAACTTGTATTCTGCAAACTTGATATAATTGATTATTTGTACCAGGAGGCTATCTTTAATGATTCTTCCAGATTTTCATCATGTAATCTGTAAAAAAGGACAATTTTATTTATTTGCTCCTAACCTTTATCAATTTTATTTGCTTTTCTTGTTTTAATACATTAACTAGGGCTTTCAATCTGAAATTGAAAAGTTGTGGAGGTAGGAGACAGACTTGCCTTGTTCTTTGCTTAGTGGTGAAGTCTAAAGTTTCTCAACATTAAGTATGTTAGATGGGAAGACCTTATCTCCAAATATGTTCACATTCTGAGGTACTGAAGGTTAGTATTTTACCTTGTGAATTTTTTTGTGGGGGACAGAGATCACAATTCTTCTAATGTAAGTTGGATGCTGTGTCTGAATAGTCATAGAGGCTCTGGATAATATTGTGTCTTTTGAAAGTTTTTCCTTCTGTTGGACATTTTTAAAATTTTTATTTTAGTTTTCTTTTTTTTGTTGTTGTAACTTTGCAAGATACATGTATTTTGATTTTATTGGTACTTTCATACTCCCCTTTAATTTTCAACTTACTTGTTTAATAACAAGGGCTTTTTAGGGGGGCACAATTTATTTATTTATATATTTTCTTTTTTAATTATCTTTTTTTCTTTATTAAGTCATAACTATGTACATTGATGCATTGTTAGGGTACAATGTACTGATTTGATATACAATGGGAAATGCTTACATTGAACTGATTAACACAACCATCACCTTATTTATTTGTTGTGGTAAGAAATTTATACTCTATTCTTTATAGTTTTGAAATGCACCATTGCATTATGCACATTAGGTGAGGTAGTACAAAATACCCTCTCTCCTCCCAGCCTCCCCCTCACCTCCCTTCACCCACCTCTTCCCTATTTCTTTATGGACTATAGTTATGTTTTACCATTCAAATGAAAGTGTAGGTGGTTATATAATGACTTCATAGTAGTATTGAGTACAATGGATACCTCCCCCCAATTCTTTACTAAGATAGAGATACTTTACTAAGAAGAATGTGTTCCAGCTCCATCCAGGTAAACATAAAAGATGAAGTCTCCATCATT